AGAATGTTAGCCGTCTCAACAGATTTGTTATAGGCATTTCATCGACACATGAGGGTCTATTCATTCATTCCTAAAAGGTTTTTCGTCAAAAAGGACCGATGTTTCGACTGTCCAAGTATGCCAATGCTACGATCAACACCGAAAGCTAACAAACCTTAATTTAAACATAACCTCAAAGTCTGTAACTTCATTGGAAACTTGAAGAGACACTCTTTATATTTATAAATATTTGTTATATGTACCAAGCATAGGACTTAATACATATATATTTCAAGTTTTTAGTTCATTTACTCGTAACTATTAATTAACGAAATTGCCACTCGTTAATGCGTGTTTGATTCCATGCCAAAATAACGGAAAATTTGCGATGCTATTAAGTAGGTTTAATATATCTAGTTTGGGTTTGTGGGCGTTATACGCTGTTAAACGGCTTCAGCGTGTACAAATATCTGTGATTAAATGGATATCAATATGTACAATCTGTCAAATATGTAATGGTATATAAAGTCAAAACTTTGACAGTTTAGAACGGCAGTCCGTTGTGGTAACTAAGAACTACTATACATATTTTCTTCGCACAAATACTGTTGAAGGGTATACAAAAATTAAGTGTATTTTTTCTTTTGCTGAAATTCAACGTACCATCAATTTTGTGCCTGACTGTTAATAAGCACTTACGCTTTATTTGGATATTTAAGCATGTCGGCTAACAAACCGACATAATAACGGTAACACCAACTACGCCTGTGTTTAAGCAGTAGCTATCAAGTGTGTGCTTCAGTGTTCATTAAATTGTTGGTTTTTGCGAATATTTATAGCACTTTATTTCAAGCCAAATTTATTGAGCTTTTAGTCCTTTTGACTTTTTTATCTATCACTTGTTGATTGTTTGTCGGTCAAATATTTATCATTTTTGTTATTGTGTAGTTTCAACATGTGCGTGCCAAGGGTGATTAAGCAATTTTTTTGTTGGAATAAACGTCGTATACACACATATATATTGCAAACAGATCAACTAATCAAGATTAGTACTTAGTTAACTTTTTCTCTGATCGTTTGGCACTCTTGTTCGAATATTTTACTTAATTTATAATTTCGAAAAGATGGCAACGATTTTAAAAAAAATACACTAATTTCATAGAGACTCTGTTTTCTTTGCGTTTCGCAAATATTTTGAAATATTTTAATTTTTTTCAAAAGGTGGCAACTTGCTTTCAAATTAAATTCAAATACTTTTCGTAAAATTTTCTCATAAACACTCGTTGAAATATTTTACTTTATTTAACTTTTACAATAGCTGGCAACTTTTTTACAAAACATATATATAGAGTAATTTCTTATCGGCTCTGTTTCCCCTTAAGTTTGCAAAATATTTTTTCACTCTATTTTAGAATTAAATTCTAGTACTTACCGTTAAACTTTCTCAATATTTTATGGTAGATAATTTAACCTATGCAATAGCTATATATGTACATACATACATACAATATATATATAATATCTTCCAAGAGCCTTGCTTTCCCCTTTCATTTGGCAAACATTTTTTTTACTATTTTCAGTTTTTTTTTCAATGGATGGCATTTTTATTCGGAACAAACTTTTCTGTGGCCATCCATATGTTATTGTATTATTTTTCCCATAGAAACCTTATTCAGACGTCGCACGTACCACTTCAGATTTCAAGATATAGCATACCGTCTCATTTTTTTTCTCTGAGTGTAGTAGTATGAGTATATAGTATTTATACAGGTATAGGTTTAATTAGGTTTGGTTAATCCCAAAAATCGAGATGTCAAACATTCTCTAGAAACTTTTAAAACCAATAGAGTTTCACCCATGTTATATTTGCAGTCATCAGATCGGCTAAAACTTTATCAAAAGCATGAGAGCTCTTGTTACAAAATCCCACGCAGACTTCACCATCAAGCTTCATGCTAATATTTACGGGCTTACATAGGTCAAGTAGCTGCCTTCAATATTTTTTTGTCCAAAGCTGTAACGCAAGCTGCCTTTACTCATTAACTCTTAGTTCTTTTTAGTAATCTCTTAACCAAGTTCCCCACAACAGCTGTAAGATACACACATACACATGCTAATATACCACTGACATTTATACTTTTCTTCTCTTACACATTTTACCATATTTGCTTTCATTCGCTGTTAATTTGTATTCATTTGTAGTATTATTGTGCAATCAATTTTTGGAGAATAAAAATTATATCTTTTTATTCATCTCACTCATATTAGAAAATATTTATTCTTAGCGATTTATTTGCATTCGTGCTGACTCTTTAAATATTCCGCTATAATTTGCTAGCATTTTATTATTTTCTGCGCTCGATTGAAATTTATGATACTATTTATTATAAAAGTATGTGCGCGCTTAAATTTCTTACCGCATCGAAGTGTATTGAGTTATTTAACTCATTTATATGCAAATATAAAAACATCCATGCTAATGAGAGATTAACTGCTGCTCATATACCATAGATATGTATGTATGTCAAGTATACATTAAGACCAGAAAGTTTCGGGAAATAGTGGGCCCACAATTCCGGCCGTTTACGACGCCTCAAAACGCTTAAATAATACTCTTTGCCGACCGTCTGTCTTGTTGGAACGAATTCATGATGAACCAAACCGCGAATATCGAAGGAAACAATTTCCGGAAACTTTCTGGTTTCATGGCACAACATGCATTAAGGAAAATTTGCATAGGGAACTAAAGGCAATCTTTGCCCCGGACCTACAAGGCATGTTTCGATAATTGGAAAAAGTGGTGGCATATATGCATCGCTGCAAAAGGAGCATATTTTGAAGGCGACAAAATAAATATTGATGAAGATTAAAAAATTGTCGTTTTATTTACAATTTCCGGAAATTTTCTGATCTTAATGTACATACAATACATATATGCGATTTGTGGTAGCTACTCATATTTTCAGCAATAGAAATTTTGCAAATTACAGCATTTAATATTTTATTTTTGAATAACCACCACGATTCCTTTCATATGCAATACCAAGCTCTACAAACCAAAAAACAATTGTACCAAGTTGTACTCTGTACAACATATTGTGAGAGTATAAAAATCTATACAAGAAAAGAAGGCATTTATCTCCAATATTAAGTAAGGTTTACTTCTCTGACACTTGTGGCGTGAATTTATTGCCATAAATATTTGTTGTAGCAAACACAACACAAAATTGCATAAAACACTTCGCCGAAGAGATAAAAGACACTTGATTAGTTATGCGCTAGAAGGAAGGAGGGGGATTAAACTCGTATCATTCAAGTGATTATCATGTTTGAGAAGTAGTTGTGCTGGCCATAAATAATGTAAGGAAAATACTGCAATATCTAAATTGCGGTATGCGTAGATATTTATATTTTTATAGATGTAACTAGGAACATTTTCTGAAACAATTTCGAGGGCGTTACAATAAATATTTAGCCTTACCGCCCGAAGGATCTCGTAGATGGATAACATTAAATATTTTGAGAAATGAAAAAGCAACAATATCGGTCCATAATTCGATTATTGTTTTAGGGCTGAAAGTGCGCAACAAAAAAGCGCTTAGATGATGTATTCGATAGCTCTTACCTTTGGTGGCGATTAGTGTATGTCGATTTCTATTGATACCACGCCCAAGTAGAACGAAAAAAAAACGATAATGTGGCCAACTATACGTATTGGCAGACCGCCGATAGAAGTTGTATGAGATAGCTCAGACTGTAGGCATCTAAAAAGACCGTGTAATATCTTGTATGAAATATTGAGATAACAAGCGCAACCTTGAGACCACTTTACAACAATGGTTGACGCTGTTAATGCACAAACCGTAGAAGTTTCTACACCGTTTCGTGACCATCGACGAAACATGATACACATCAGAGTCCAAGTAACAGTCAACACAGTGCACTTCTCCTGACGAGCCTGCTCTGAAAAAGACGAAGACTGTTATACAATATCAAGCGAAAAGGTGATGGACACCGTTTCCTAGAATTCACAAGAAGTTATCTACATCCACTAAGTAGAGTAAAGCAAACCGGTCACAGGGCTATTCAACGCTGTAGAGGTATGTACCCTCTTTAAGGCCAAATCGATTACTGGGCGACTTCTATTTATTTCCAAACTTGTAAACATTAATCGCAGGGCACAAATTTGAGCCGTATGAGGAAGTTATCGTTCCCTCGTAGGCGTATTTTGCACACCACCAGAATGGAAGTTTTTATACGGGTTGAAGAAGTTGAAGCATCGCAGTGAAAGTCAACTATAATGAGCTAAATGGAGTGTATGTTAGAAAATGAATTGGTCATTTTAAAGTACTTTTAGACCGCCATTGTAAATATTCTTAAAAAATATACATAATATACTATCTGGTATGGATCTTGATCTCATCTGAAAAGTAAAAGTTGTAGAAGTTCACTTGTGAGCTTTCAAATTACTTTCGAACTACTTTTACATTTCGATAAAAGATTTCTTCAAGTAATTTGTCGGTGTGGATAGTCGGTGTGGATAGACCGAAACCCATCGAGTGTTGGTTACGAATTTAAAGGGGTTTGACCATCACAACTACCTTAACTTTATAAAATGTCTAAGTAAAATTATATTTGAGAGGTTGTTCGACTTGAACACGAGAAAATATCAACGCTTGCCTTTATTCACTTGAAAAACAAAATAAGTTATCCTAGTTTTCTGGTAATCTTGTAACCTTTAGTGTTTAAGATTCAAGCATTATCTAAGTTTTTGTGCCTTCTTTGGACTCAGTCCTCCTTAATTTTGCTTTGTATGTAGTAGTCCTCTTGCCGCGGCGGACACAGAAGTACACTCATGCTTTATATATTATAGGCTTTTGTTCTCAGTTTTTTACTATCGGAAATATAAACATCACATATAAGTATGTATGCACTCTGCTGCCATCATGCTCCACAATAAATATATTATGGTATTGTATAATAAAAAATTATATGATTTTTCTTTTATTTTTTCATTACAGCTGCTTAGCATCAAACAATCTTATCGGCCTGCTCGGCATGTTAACAACGATGCTCCTCAAAACTTATGTGCCAGAGGATAAGTTCAAGGCCTACGTGCGTTGGGATTGCACGTTGAAAGTATTGTGTCGCTTTTTCGGGCTTAGTTCCGGTTGTATTGCTGCAGTGATGGCGATTGAACGTTGGATGGCCTTGGCGCGACCGTTTATCTATCATAAGGTTGGTAAACACATGTGCTATTTTTATTCATTATCAAATTTTTAATATTGTTTATTTTGAAAATTTTTTACACGTGTCGAACATATAAATACATATGTATATATTTATCTCACACCGCCTTCGCAGCATATCACATACGAACTTGTGCGCAAAACTATCAATTCGCTGGTGCTCATCGCGGTTGTTATCACTTTTCTACCTTTCATCGGTTTTGGCGCCTACATTGACGAGAGTGATCCGGAAAATCCGAAATGTTTGCGTTATCGCGATGCCGAAGGCTTTTGGAATAAAACATATTCGGTGTTATTTATGCTTTTCGGTGAGTTTTGTAGTAACATTATTGTCTTCTCTTTAAGCACAAAAAAAATTATTGTAACTGGCTCTTAGCCCTTAAGCTGTACTCTAATGTAAGGTGAAAGAATTGTCCAAAAAAAAAAAATCTATGCAGGCTATGTAAAATTTTCTGTAAACGGCAAATGGACCAACATCAGTTCCGTTTCTACAAAAGTCCGGGTGTAGGTAACCGAACCAAACCAGTGTTTATCACCGGTAAAAGAAAGAATTTTCCCACGATATTTGTGGCACCAATAGAAAGTAGTTTTTAAAAGCCCTAATTGCCATAAATTTTCAACAAATTTATTCTCCAATTTCAAAATTTTATTAATGAAAATCCCCCGAAATCAGCAAAAACGAGACCAAAAATTCACTTCGGCTACACCGATGCAATAATATCGAAATCCCAAAAACTTAGGGATGGTTAAATCGACTCAACTACTAACGTCAATCATTTATACATATATCTACAGGGTCTCCGATTTGCCTTCTGGATGTTACAAAAATCGTGGCAAACTTAATACATATACCCTCTTCACCTATATATGTGTATGTATTTACAGAAATTCAAGTTCTTAATGTATGTCGTATTATATACTAAGAACTTCGTTACCGGTCTCATTTAACGACAACTTTTTTGTGGAAAAAGACAGTTTTCTTGATTTTACAGCATTCCGAAATATACAATATTCTTTCGATTTTTTATATTAAATATTACTTAGCAGGATCTTAGAGGAGTAGAAACAATTTCTTACTCGACTGGGATGGCTTTCAGTGCTTTCAGCGATTTTGGTTTTTCGGTTTCGACTCAATTTTGTAACGCTATTCACTAGATTGTTGGACAGTTTTGACGTCTTATTCATTGTCAACGTCGTATTCAGCTCTTCTGGTACGAGTGTAGCATTGATAGGGTTCATACCCAAAACATTAACCAAAATGGTTGAGTCAATCCATTAGTGATGTTGAGATCCTCTGCTATCTCTCTGATGCTAACACGAGGATTTTCAACACTGTTTTTTAACTATCGAAATTAAGAGCGGTGGATGGACGACTCACATGAGGCAAGTGTTCGATGACTTCATGACCTTTACCAAATGCTCTGTGCCACTCAAACACTTGTGTTCGTGATAAGTACTTGTAGTTCTCCAAAACATTTTTACAAAATTTCACAAAACCATATAAAGATCGCATCAATTTAGTAGGAAATTGTTTATCGATTCGGTTTGCGTGCGAAGTTTATGTGGAACACTCCGGGTCAAATTTGATCATATTTAAACCGAAGTTGAAGTACTTTCCATCTACCTTCCAGCAGGTTCTCTGTTATAGGACCAATGGCCACCTTGAAGCACATGAAAAGAACGATAAGATCTCTTCTGCTTGCTAGAGTGGCTTTAGAGTAGTAGGGGTGGTTACTGTTTGAAGGCTTTAAGTATAAACACTACAACGACTTGAAACCCAAAATATGTGTAAAGAGTATATGAAAATCTATAAAAGATGAGCTAACACATCAAAAATAAAAATCAACAAATGAAATTTCTTCACATTATAACGTATAATATTATCATTCGTCTCAACATAAAGCTAGCTAAACGACTAGTAATATTCCAGTAGCTCATGCAACCGAGATCAACAATTTGTGAATAGACTCTCTTTTATAGTTATAATAATCGGTTTTAATTTCTGATTAAGAATACTTTCCATATATTTTCCAATTAAACGACTAAATTTGCATGTATTTTCACTGCACGCTCATTTCAGGTTCGCTTTTGTGCGTCGTCATTGTTGCTTGCAATCTGTTCGTGACACGCGTGCTCTGCTTCATCGGACGCACACGCACCACCAAGCGACACATGCACTACGATCTGGCGAATCGCGAGAAGGGCAGCATGAATCGCATCGAGGGTGAACCAAGCAGCGGCTCCTCGTTGTATCATCACAGCAATAGTGTAACAATGACGGCAGACGCCTCGCCCGATGAGATTAAATTCGCCAAACTGATGGCATACCTGAGCATCTCCTTCGTCATCTGTTGGATGCCGCAAATGGTAAGCGACAAAAGAAAAAAAGAAAACAATAGCAATTGAGCTCCTGATTAATGTTTTATGCTTCGCAGATTGCCATACCAATGGCTATTTTACCGAATCGTGTGCCTAAGGCGCATCCCTTCTTCATTTTGGCCGATGTGTTGATGGCGCTGCACTTCACCTCGGATCCATATATTTATGTGCTCAGCCGGACGAAGCACTCCTACATATTGGGCTTTTTCAAGCGCTGTCGCTGTGAACTACGACGCTCGCATAGCGATCAGAGTCGGCTGCGCGCCACCATCGAGCAGAATACGTCGGATTGTGGACTAAACTGAGCTTCGTTGCGTGGCGCTCGAGCGCCAGCGCGTACAAGTATTTTGTATTTTTAGATATACACAAACATACAAACGTACATATGTGCATATGTATGCGTTTAATATATTTTTTACTCAATACTTTTTTTTTATGGAAAGCGAAAATGTACAAGTATTTAGAATTGGTTAGAAAGTAACGGTGAAAATGCTTATAACATAATGGTTGCTGTTTGGCAAATGGTTGATGAACTGGTGTGAATGCAAAACGAACAAAACCAAATAATTATGCATACAATTATTCCTTAAAGACATGTCAAAGTATTTTATTCTAAAATTGTACTTAAAAAGAGTAACTTAAAAATCCCAAAAAGTTTATTAGTGTTTGTAATAATTGCTTAGGCGTGCATAAAAAGTAAGTTGTATAGAAAAAAGCACAAACAATTTTACAAATTGAAATTTTTTTCGCCAACATTTAACTGCACGCAGAGATCTAAGTATACTGTCTGTTCATAAATACTTTTGTTTATACGATTTCGTAGTTCGATAGTACACATACACATATAAATATACTATATTAGCTTGTAAGTTGTAAATACTTAAATTTGTTTGGCATAAATGTAAATAAAATAATATATTTTTTATATACTTAAAAAAAAAAATGTTCGTAAGGTTATTTTAATAGCTCAGCATTTTTATAGCCTGAACAGGATATATTAAGTTTGTTACGAAGTGGGAACTAGTCCCTCACTTTTTGAGATATCGATCAAAAATTTTGCACACATCCTTTTCTCCACAAGAAGCTTCTCATTTGTCCGAACCGATATATGTATGTAGCTGTCATACAAACTGAACTATCAAAATCAAGTTCTTGTATGGAACACTTTTTTATTTGACAAGGTATCTTCACGAAATTCACCACGGATTACACTGGTCTACAGTGATTTTGTTGCCTTAGATATAAGGTCATCAGTTTTAGAAATAAAATAGATTTTGAATATATTTGGGCTCACAAATCAGGAACCATCAACGATTTTGTAAAATTTGATCTCGTTTATTTTTAATCTTTATTTTTATATTAAATTACAAAAATCAGAAAATATGAAATAAAATAACGGATACATTTACAATATCACTTTTCTTTTGAAAAATAAGGATACATCAAAGTAAACAGAGCAAAAATTGTCGAAAACATATACCTTCAATAAACCTTATTTTTCGATAATTTCTTTTATAATGTTCCTGTTGACAATTTTTTTTTTTTGAATACCAGCACTAAACTGCCGTCATATGGCGATACCATCAACCTTGATACTTTTCTTCCAACACTTTTAGATTTTGGTTGTACCACTCTACCTGTTCCTTCCTATTTCCGTGCTGTAGTTCGGAGGTTCTGCGAGTACACAACGAAATAGCGTTTCATTTTTATATATTATATAAGATTAAATTTATACAAATGCTTGTGCATATACTATAGTTTAACTTGATACTCATATTTTTTTTTTTTTTTTTGGAACAATTTCTTCATAATTTTGTGCGTAATGGTTACCTAGGAAAATTTTTGACTATCAGCACTAAACTTTGCCAAGCTTCATTTTGAGAAAATTTTCGGTAAAGGGCATGAAAATGGAGATCATGCGATGTTTGTATGAACAAAAAAGAGGCGCCGAACCCTAATCATGACTGCAAAAATAAATTTTCTTACTTATAAGCCCATAATGGGTTAAAATATAGGAAATGCAACACTTTCATGAATAATTGAAACTGAACACTTGAAATTATCGAAATTACGCCATTCACTGAAGGTGTTAATAACTCCGCTGTGAATGGCGTTTAGTGCTTGTCGGTAGTTGGTGGCGTCCGAAATTCGGTCGGTATACGGTGCTAATTCGTCGAGGAGGTGGCCCCGCTTCAAGCAGGTGACTGTAGGGATGATTTCGGCAAAAACATTCGAGCATAAACTGATTAATTCCCACAACAGCCGGCTCTACGATTACTGGAAATGGTACGGTTTTTATACGGCCATGCACTGTTATTTCGAGGATCTAACCGTGTGGATCGGTAGGTAAAAAATATCATAAAATCTTGTTCCATGTTAACTCAACTCTATCGTTACGTATGCTGTCTATTTGCGTGCTGTTGTAGTGCTCACCTAGTCTGGTAGATTTATTCCATTGCGTGTAAATTAAAACCTGTGTATATCACCCTTGCAATATAATAATAGTATCTAACGTTGTACACCAAGCGCCTGTAGGCTCAAAAATAAATCACTGAAGATTTACCGATCCGAACACGGTTAAGAACCTAGGGTAAAAAAAAAAACATTGTGTTAATATCTTAAAAACCTACGCCATTTGTAACGCAGTAATCGAAAGTCCACTACTGAAACCTGCCAACAAAGCCGATATCTGATATCCTTTATTTTCGCAGTGATGAAGAGATTGTTGCGCCTGATTATGACTGAAAGTAATCTATCACTTTGTGAAGAACACGAGTATTATCTTGCCCTTGGATTCTAGATTGACCCTTGCGTAACTTCGTTCTGAATCCGTAGCAGGTTAAACTCGTACTTATCCAGAATAGTCCCTGATATACCAAATACTATATGTTCAGCGTGCAATGAATCCCCGCATGACTCTAACGACCTCTTTGCATGCCCAACGAATCCCACTCATGATATGATATTAGGATTCGTTATACATGGCAACTCTTTACTATGGACAGTGGCCGAACGCTTTGTCGCCTGATCTCAACTACAGCAAGACCTTATATTCCCTACAAAGAAGCATGGAGCAACACTTGTTGTTGTAGTGGCGGAATACATCCCTGAAGTGATTTGAAGGAATGCTAGTTGATAGTCCTTGACCGGATAAAAATCCAACTTTACGAATTTTATTGCTTATGAAGGAATTGACTTCCGGATAAAGAGTGTGTTCGAGCTACGTAATAATTGCAGCAGTACAGCTACTGAGATAGCGCTGTCAAAGTCCACAGTTTTTATAACATTTGACAGTGGTGCCACTAAGGAAAGAAATAAGTTTGGAGATTTTTTAATGTATTTCTTAGCCGATTATTTGCATAAATTGCGCGCAAAAAGTAACAGTAGAACGTGATGCTGTTGCAAGTGTTGCCGAAAATTCACGCAGAACGTGATACTTTGATAAGTTTCCAACACTGCTGTCGTGATTGCCATCTCGAACGCACCCAAACTAAACCCTTTATGTGAGCCTGAAAGCTGCTTGCACTGATGCCGAAACCACTTCACGGATGCCCATTACAACAAAACACGAATTGTTTTAATATTTTGTACATCTAAAGGTTGTTTTATTTACCTCTTAAAATATGCTTTTACATTTTATAATGCATAATACAGCATCAAATCCAGTGTACCTCTTTCGCTTGTGATTCACAACACCACACACGTGACAATTCTATGCTTCAAATACTAATTCACGCATTTGCATAAATGCTTGCATGTGCGCCCTTGCTTTTTCTGTTTTGATTTTAACTGTCTTTACTGGCTTTTGTTGTGTTTTTTCAATATTTTTCATTTTTGTTTCTTTTGCTTTCTAGAGTAGAATATTTTTTTACTCGAATATTTCAATTAAATATTATTTTCCAGCAAATCTTCGAGTAAATATGATTACTGCAAATGAAGATTGCAATTAAAGTAATGATAAATTATTAATGTGGAATATAGATATATATTGAATTTATAGTTTTGTTTATTAATTAACATATATCTTGTCAAGTTGCAAAACATAAGGTTTGTTTGTTTTTATGTATAATTGGTTGGAAAGTAGTACAACTAAACTTAAATAATGGAAATAGTTTTATTTTTTATTTTTTTTTTGTCTAGTAAACGTTTACACTCAAACTATTTATTTAGTAGCGATTGTAACGTCCACGTCCACGACCACGCGGCGTTGCTTTTGGTGCGGCCCGAGCTGGTGTTGCTTTTTTGGCCGGCGATGTTTCAGCTGCAGGTGTGACTGGTGCTGGTGTTGCTGGAGCAGGTTTGGCTGGTGTCTTGACAGGCTCGGGCTTTGGCTGCTCTTTAACGGGCTCGGGTTCTGGCTCTGGCTCAGGCTCGGGTTCGACCTCAGCCTCGACTTCGCCATCTTGGTCTTGTGCCTCCATTTCTTCATCGCCGGCACACTCTTCATCGCCCTCCTCGCCTTCGGCGGCCTCACCATTCTCATTCATTTCGACATCTTCATCATCACCAGTGGCCTCGGATGGATCGTACAGCTCACCCTCGGCGGCTTCACCACCCTCACCTTCTTCACCATTTTCAACCTTAACTTCGGTGGCAGCTGCTTCAGCTTCCTCCAACTTACGCTTCTTGCGTTCATTCTCCTCGAGAGCGGCGGCGGCGCGTTTTTGTGCGATCTTAGTATCGCTCGCCTTCTCGTTAATAAACTTCAAGAAATTGCGATGATGAGTAACGGTGCGAGAATGCACCTCAACGGTCTGTTCTGTATCGAAGAATTTGCCGCATAGCGAGCACTCAAAGCACTCCAATTTCGTAATTAGACCGGAACCAACTGGACGTGTCCAATTGTATTTGGGTAAACGTGTATCGACTTCAGTCGGTATTTCATCACCATCAGAGAAGTCTAAAATGCAATCTTCAGGATCGACCGGCAAAGCGACTTCCTCCTCTTCTTGAGTTTCATTTAAATCTTCACCCTCTTTGGTTTCATCAGCGCCCTCTTCACCCTCTTTCTTCTCAGCCTCTTCGCCTTCGGCCTCCTCACCTTCAGCAGCCTCTTCTCCCTCCTTCTTGATTTCACCCTCACCTTCAGCCTTCTTGGTAACAGGCTTCTTCCTCTTCTTTTGTGGTGGACGCAAGTCCTTTGACTCCTCCTCTTCGGTATGAATAGTCAATGTATTGCGTTTACGTTCACCAACCTTGGTATTCTTCTCGGCAGCCTTTTGCAAGTGATCAGCCGACAACAAATGTGTGTCATAATCAATGCGTGTAGCGAATTCCTTATTACACTCAATACATTTGGGATGCAAAAACTTCTTCAAACTCAAATGACCCTCCGATTTACGATGCGCCGAAATATGACCATGGAAATTCAGATCGCACATAGTACAATATTCCAATTGGCGTTGCTTGGTCTTGCCCATGCGCTTCAAACGATCCAATTCAATCGATTTCAATTGCTCAGCGATCTTGGCCTCTTGGCGTATCATATTGGCCTTTAGGCGATAGCTCTCTTCGATGCCCTCGCGCATCATTAAATGTGTGCGACCCTTAATGTGATTCTCGAACGAGTTGGCGTCCCACATATGCTTCTTACACAAATGGCAATAGAACATGTCGTTGGGCACGCTGGCATAGGGTGACTCCTTGCTGTTGTTGATGTGTTGTGAAATGATTCACACGCAAAATAATTTTGAATTTCAAATTTATTTTGGATATTTTGAGTTGATAGAAATGGAAATACACATAAAAAGAAAGAATATTAGTTTTCTGTATTTAAAAAATATTTTGCTGTAATAAATAGATATAAGGATGTGAGAATGTTTTATAAACTGGGGCATCGCGATGGATTTCGATGGTAATGTATACTAAAAATATTACATTAGAAGCGTGTTAAAATTGAAGACAATAATACTGATGAGGCATGAAAATGGATCCGAGAAAAAATACAGAATTCTACGGTAATATAGTAGGCAGTGACATGACTTCAGCGATTTTATATATGCTACAAGCAGCTGAAAAAGTGCCGACATTATTGATAGCCTTATATATTTTACGAAACAAAAAATTGGATTAGAAAAGAGCCAGTGAAGTATCGAATGATTATATGTATTTTAGCGTTGGAGTCATTAAAAACAGAATAATTTTAAATTTATTTTAGTTATATTATTTTACTATTAGTTTAAAACCCCTTTGGTTTTTGAAATGTTTGAAAAAAAAAACTCTTAAAATTCAAATTCGATGATTTTTTATAAATAAAAATTTCTTAATGCCGATTCCTTGCATTTCTACCGTTTTTATATTAACATTTTTTCTTGGGTATATAAAAACAAGGTCTGGTTATAAATATAAATATTTCCACAAATTCACAGCGTTCATAAGTGACAATTACTTTATTTTGTGTATTAGTTTCATATTTTAACACCCTGCTAATGAAATATTATCCAAGTCTTGAAGTGATGTTCTCTATCAATATGCAATTTTTATGATATATATTTTTTTGCTATTTAAATCACTTCAAAACCGTACAGATTTTTTTTATCTAAAACAAATAATATTTGTAATTGTTCTTTGAATTACGAGCGATTGGTCGAATTAATAGAAAAATCCATTTAAAAATTATAATTGTTACTTGAATTAAACAACTTGACATCATGTGGATTTTGTATTCAATCAAAACATGAACATGAAATGATTGAAGCGAGTAATGCGGCAACAATGCAACCTTGTCTATTGCTGGTGCTCAGCTAATAAATTGTAGCGAAACGGTAGTTTCATTCATGCTTATGCAAAAT